GATCATGAAAGTGCTTTGAAAAAGAAAAAGCAATATTGAAATATAAAGTGCTAGATTACCTTTTTTTTATTGTGAAGGTTGTCAGCGCTCAAGTTTTACTATTTAATAATAAGTCAAGATTATCAGAAGCTTGATAACACACCATAGCTGAATACAGCAAGCGTTATTTGTTGTGTACCCAAGAGCCATTTCTACTCTCCTTCCAAGCTCATGGGGAACCCTAATTCTTTCAGGTGAGGACAGAGCTTTTCTTCATCCACCTTGATCTGCCCCAGCCCCAGGGGGAGAGTGATGACTGGTCTCAATCAGTCATGGCAATCACATTCTACTTTGCCAGTGATAGGGGTGGGCGTAAGTCCCAGGTCTGGTCAATGAGAAATAAGGGAAAATGTGACTTCCCTGCCCCAACTTGAAACAGAATTTCAAGATAAGAAAACCTTTTGCCTCTGTCTTACTGGGCAATCATGTGAGGACATGATGCCTGAAGGGGTAGGATCTATCTTGCAACTGTGAAGCAATAAGCACAAGGACACAATGGAAGAATAGAAGATCAGAAGGAGCAGAATTCCCTTCTTCTTCCTCTTCTTCTTCTTCTTCTTCTTCTTCTTCTTCTTCTTCTTCTTCTTCTTCTTCTTCTTCTTTTCTTCTTCTGTTTTGCTTCTGAATTTTATTATAGAGTCAAACAGACAAAGCACAGTCAGATGAGGAGACAGAACATTTATGTGTGAATGTCTTAGGCAGAAAAATTGTATCTGAACCAACAAAATCTGTTCATACATACATCAATGTGCCTTTGATCCAGACATGTTTAGAAGGAGCAGGATCCTTGATGATGCCACTGAGCTACTACGCTTGCCTTCCTCCAGGCTTCTGGTTATAAGAGTTAACTAAATGCTGTTGATGCTGAAGTCACTGTTACTTGCATCCATTTGCATAGGTAAATTGGTGCAATCTCTACAGAATGTAACTTGGCATATATTTCTATTTGATATATTTGAATGTACATGCCCTTTGACTCAACAATTCTCCCACAGAATTACCAGGAATTTCTTCCACAGATATAGTCACCCATAGGTAAGTATAGTTACATCACTATATTTATTCATATTGAAATGTAATTACATTAAATATTAATTAACTTAATTAAATATATTGATTCAAACATGTATGCAACAATATGGTAAGATTAATGACAGTGCATCCATAAAATGAAATATATGACTTTAAAAAGATTGGCACAGCTCTATGTATACTGGTAGGAAATTATATTCGAGACCATTAAGATATATGTATGCTGGTAAGAAGTGAGATTCTGGATATATTAAATGGAAGAAGTGAGATTAATAGTGGTTGAAGCTGGATGATGGGTATGTGGGGATTTGTTAGGTCATGTTTTCTTGTAAATGTATTATGGAAATTGGAAATTCACCAAAATAAAAAAATTTCAAGACAAGGGGCAGGAAGAGTAGTGTGTTTACTATGACATCATTTGTGTGTGTGTGTGTGTTTCTTTTAAGCAAATAGATAGATGAAGGATAGAACATGAATATGCATGGAAGGACACACCAGAAATTGGTAATAACAGTTGCTACTAGGGAAAGAGGGAGGACTGGGAAGAGACTGAGTTTTCATATCTCTTTGTCCCTTTTGAATTAAAAAAAATATTTTATTATATAGTATTTTATTAAAAATAAAATAAGATAAAGATTTATTTAGTTTTTAAATATTTTATTTATTATTTGAGAGAGAGAGAGAGAGCACAAGCCGGGGGAAGGGCAGAGGGAGAGAGAGAAGCCGACCCCCTGCTGAGCAGGGAGCCCGATGTGGGACTCAGGACTCGATCCCATGACCCTGGGATCATGACCTGCGCTGAAGGCAGACACTTAACCGACTGAGCCACCCAGGCACCCCAAAATAACATAAAGATTTATTAATCAACCAAGTGTAGGTGATGGATAGACAGATAGGCAGTCCATATCCTTGCAATGCAGCCTCAAGTGCTGTTTGATGTTCATGCAAGAGATCTGTTCAAATCCAGCCCATGACCCCGAAGATGGTGCCACTGAGATGAGCAACCCCAGGCTGCCATGGGGTCCTGCAAATAAGCTAAGCCCTTGCTTAGAGCCAAGTTATAAAGATGCTGGGGACAAGGAAAACTTGATTGCAGCGAGTGAAACAGACACTATATGAAAACAATACAAAGCACCATAAAATATTTCTCTTAAAATGTAATTCCATTGTATACACTTTCTAAAAGCAGGAAAGCACCAAAAAAAAGAGATTAAACATCATTTCTAATCCCACTCCCAGAAGCGATACCATATATTTTGGTGTGAATGTGTGTGATCAGAAAACACCATTTTGTAATTGGAGTCTTCATTTATTTATTTATTTTTATTTCTTTAAATAATCTCTGCACCCAGCGTGGGGATCGAACTCACAACCCCGAGATCAAGAGTCGCGCGCTCTACCGACTGAGCCAGCCAGAAGCCCCGTAATTGGATTCTTTCCAGTTCACAAAATAGAATTAGTTTTCCAGCATCATTAAATATTATATTTTACAACATAATTTTTAATGCGTGCATATTGCTCTTACGTGGCTTTTCAATAATCTTATCAATTTCTTTCGTCGGACATTTAGTTGGTTTCCCACGTTTTCGGTGGCAGCACAATTACAGATCACAGGCAGTGCTAACACTTCCTGACTTCCACAAATATTAGCTCAACTTCCTTTCTTCCTTCCTTCAATAAGTAGTTATTAAATAAGTGCAAAACAACCAGGCTCAAACAAAGCACCTATGAAGGACACTTCTGAGATATTTGGGGAATTTGAAAGTAGAGTTGCTCTTTCGTGATGCTAAGGAATTATAATTGTGTGATAATGGTCTTGTGGTTATGGGGAAAAGCTTCCTTATTTTTTGGAGACTCACACTAAAGTATTTAAGGATGAAATGTCACGATGCTTGTAATTTGCTTTAAAATATTTTAACCAAAAAGTAAATGAAGCAAATATGGGAAATCTAGGTGATGGGTATATTGTCTGCTTTTCTGTATGTTTGAAATTTTCATTTAAAAATATGTCTTAAAAATGAAATACGTCATGCTAGGTCCTGGACTATGAGCTGAAGATGTAGCAGTGAACAAAACAGACCCCTGTGGTCTTGGCGGAGCACACCAGCCTTTGGGGAACATGTTTCCATAAGAAAGTCTCCAATGCAACCTGAGGGTGTCGCCAGGACCCGTGTCAGCCCAGCGTTCCTTGCCCTACACACCATCATCACTGCAGGTGTCTTTCCCCACCTTCTAAATATCTACCTCCCGGTGGCCTTGAGTCTAGAGGAATCCCCACACTGTGGTCACTAATACTGCGTGTCGGAAATCAGTTCTGTGGTCCATAGTGCCCCTGGGGTTCCATTCAGGAAACTCTTCCCGGGCACCCAGGTGTGCCTGGCACTGCAAAGGTACCAGGACCTAGAAAGGGGATGACCTGACCCCTGCCTTCCACTTACAGCCTGTGGGAGGAGGTGGAAGAGGTCACCCAAGCCAGTTGGAAGGAGGGGAGTTGGCTGGAAAGGTGACCAGGACAAGCTTCTTCAATGGGGAAGGAAGAGACCCCAGGGCAACGGGAAGATTCTGCTAGGAGAAGGGCTGGATGAGCAGTCCTGCACGCCCACCCACAACTAACTGCACGCCCACCCACAACGCCCACCCAGAGGAGCTAATGTTCATTGTATCCTTTAGTTCAGGGGTTGGCAAACTTTCTCTCCAAAGGGCTGGGTAATAAACATTTTAGGCTTTTCAGACCAAGAAGCAACATCAGAGATATGTAGGTACAAAAGGGAAAAGGTCCCCTCCCCATTTTTTGGCCAAAATTCAAAACTTAATTTATGGACACCAAAATGTAAATTTCATATAATGTTCACGTGCCATACCTATTCTTTTTATTATTTTTTCAATTATTTAAAAATGCAAAAACCAGTCCTAGCTCATAGCCATACCAAAACAGGTGGTGGCCGAATTCGGCCCACCCACGTAACTTCCCAACTGCTCCCGCCCAAGATGGGCTGGTTCTTAACTGAAGGGTTTGTTTTCAGAGCTACTCTTTGCTGTGGGAACGGGAATGGGCCTGATCTAGTTGTTGGCACCTGGGTTCCTGGCCCATTTCTACCCCTTCCCAGCTGGGGGTTCTGAAGAAAGTCACTTAACCTCCTGGACTTCAGTTTCCTTGTCCCTGAAACCCGAGGGAGGCTCAGGCTCCTACTCCCAGGCCGGGAGGGGAAAATGTCGCTTCGTACACTCTCCTGTGTACGTGGGAAATACTGGGTAGGGGGTGGACTCGCGGTGCGTCCAGAGCATCCCCCAGAGGCCGAAGGGCGCTGTCCTCCTCACAGCCCTCCGAAGCAGCGCACCTAGAGTCGCCTGGGGGCAGACTCCTCACAACCCAGTGCCGGTGGCTGAGCGCTGGAAGCCGGGTTCTGGGCGCGCCAGAGCAGACCCCCATCCTGGGTGGGGGCGTGGGCTGCACGGCGGGCAGGCTCCCTCTAGCCCGGGGCCGTCGGGCCGGCCGCGCGGGCCTCGCCGTTGGTGCGCCTCCGCCTCGTCGAGGGCGCGCCGTCCGAGCTCCCCGCGGGCTCAGAGGAGCCCTTCACCGCCACCCTGGCCCCGAGAGGTCGATCCCGGCAGCGCGGCCGTGCCGAGAGCCTCGGGCGGGACCGCCAGGACTTGCCGCCCCCGCC